ATATCCAAAAGGTCGCCACCTGCACTGTGACATCGTAATGTTCTGCAATAATATTTTTTTGATCATTACTCAATGTCATATCTCAGGAACAAAATGGGAGACATTTAAGACTAAACTTAAGACTTTCCTTTTTGATAAAGCTTATAGTTAGGGCTGACTCAGGCTTAAAGGGAAATTTCGGTTTATTTCAACCCGTCTCCTATCGTCCTAAATTTGTTTTAAGTCACTAGTGACATAGAAATAATAGTTAGCATGTTAGTCGTTAGCCTAGATACAGCCGTAGTGTCAGACCTGTTAAAACTTAATTGAACGGGCATCCTTTCAAGTGCAAAGTTAGTCCACTAAACAAGCTTTTTCTCCACAAAGACCGCCTCATATTGTTAGGATAAATGTCAGAGAACATATAGAAAACAACATGTAAACGTGTTGTCTTACCTTACCGGTGTGGTGCCATGTTTGTTGTTTACCATTTAAATAAGGCTGCAACCGGTCCCATTCCTTGCAACAGAGGCATTCCTCTTCTGTTGGCATTGGGGTACAGCATTAACAGATAACGTTACACCACCGATCTCCAGAGCTACGGCTGTATCTAGGCTAACGCACTGTTGCCAACTCCTCAGTAAGAAAAGTAGCTATTGGCTGTCCTAAAAGTCGCTAGAAGTCGCTAAATGACGTCATCGCCTAATTTGCATAATTGTCCATATGCATGTAATTGTAATGCCTGCTGTAGGAGAGAGGAATAACGTCGTGGGAGAGACAAAAACTGAGTAAAAAAACACCCTGAATATGTTTAGAACTACAAATGAACCTTCTTTCAGTGATTTATATTAGACAAAGAAAATTTTACATTTACATCCCGCCCTGACTGTAAACCAGGTCGGGATCAGAGCGATAGATCAGCCAGCGGCGGTTCCGATTCACTTGCAGTCTGGACGTGGAGGGGTTAACATCTCCTGCTCTGACTGCAGCTGGGAGGGAGGACTGGGCTGTCTGTGAGTGCTTTGGGGCGAGAGAGGAGCCCACGGCACAGCAGCATCCGCTGCTCGTTGAGAAGAATAAGAATGAGACGTGCTCTCACAACAGAGTCTCCAGAAGTCTTCAATAACATCAGAAAAAGTCGCTAGATTTGTCGCTAGTCACTTTTTTGAAAAAGTCACTAGAGAGGTCTGAAAAGTCACTAAATATAGCGACACAGTCGCTAAGTTGGCAACACTGGGCTAACGGCTAACATGCTAACTATTATTTCTATGTCACTAGTGACTTGAAACAAATTTAGGACGATAGGAGACGGGTTGAAATAAACCGAAATTTCCCTTTAACTACTACTACTACTACTACTGCTGTTATTATTAGTCATACTTCTACCATTATTATACACATATGATTATTACTGCCACATACATATACTGTCTTACTATATAATGAAGAAAACTCTGTGGGCGTGTGTGTGTCTGTCTGTCTGTGTGTCTGTTCCACGTTTTTCTCCTCACTGACTTGGTCAATCCATGTGAAATTTGGCACAGTGGTAGAGGGTAATGGGAGGATGCGAATGAAGCAGTATTACATCAATTGGCCAAAGGGGGGCGCTATAGCAACCGATTAAAATTCCAAACTTTGAATGGGCATATCTCATGCCCCGTATGTCATAGAGACATGAAACTTTGCACAGAGATGCCTCTCCTCGTGACGAACAAATTTGCCTCAGGAACCCATAACTTCCAGTGATATAGATTTTCCACCATTTTGAATTTTTTTTTAAAAACATTTAAAATCGATGTCTTCCTACGAAGTTTGACCAATCTGCGTGAAACTCAGTGAACATAATCTAGGGACCAATATCTAAAGTTCCCTCTTGGCAAAAGTTGGAAAACTTACTAAAACTGAGCTTCTATAAGGCAATGAATATTGCAGAGGGCGTGGCTCAATACATACAGGTGTATAACATCTCAAGGGTTTCACCGATCACCACGCAACTTTGTAAGCATATGACCACACATAATCTGAGGGGACCCCTCCATTATTTACCCGATCAAACAAAATGGGGGCGCTGGAGAGCTAATTTCTTATCTAGGCCTAACCGGCATATCTATTTTTACTAAACTTGGTAGATATGTAGAACAGGACGCCTCAAGGTGACTGGAGAAATTTAACTCTAATTGGCAACTGGGTGGCGCTATAACAGCAGAAAAATGCTTAAAAATGGCTAAAATGTGACAGATCACTGTGGCTCCCCCTGTGGCCGAATGTTTGTTTGGTTTTTTTTCTAATTTTTGGTATGACTAAGTCATGGTATGGTATGCTGTACATAATCATGGAAACTGTCAGTGTGTCATTCTGTCAGTCAGTCATTCTGTCTGTCCCACGTTTTTCAAAAACTCTGTCTGAATACATGGCTCTTCTTAATGGGTTCAGTTGACTATTTAATCTGCAATTTCCTATGACCTGTATCCCAAACACACACCATGTGAAACTGTACGTGGGCAACTGTGCACTCAATGGGTATGGATGGACTAGTTATTAGTAGAGTTGGGTATAACGCGTTACAAAGTAACGCGTTAGAGTACTTTGATTACTTTTTGCAGTAATGAGTAACCTAACGTGTTAGTTTGCTGTTTGAGTAATCATATACTTAAGTACATTTTCAAACAAGACATATTGGTTCTAATAACGGAGATAACGTTAAACCTATCAGTCTGAAAGAAGCCACGGAGCTTGTGGCTCGCTACGTGGTCGTACGGTGGAGTCTAAATAGGTGGAGTAGGACTCGCTGACAGGCATATTTCAGACTCAGGACTTGCATTATGCCTGGTACATGCTACATGCTGGTACTGACCAATTATCCCCGGTCGTCTTTCATGGCGTGTGTGATGTCATCAGGTTATTCTTGACCTATTTTTATTACTTTCACTATTATTTGAGTCACTGTGCCAGAACTGTGTCTGTTCATGTGCCAGCCGACATGTTGTTGTAGTCACCTAAAAGCGTCAGCAGATGGCAGGAGCTACATTTGAAGCGCCATATGTAAACTATCAAGCTACTGTATCTTCCACAGGAAGTTCTGACAAATGTTTCAGAATAAAAGTCTATTTAGAAAATGGAGGGATTCTCTCAGCCGAGGTTATAAGGGGCTTTTAATTTGAAACAAGTGTTGAGTTTGAAATGACGGTGCGATATGTTAACTTTATAAAGACAACGGAGCCGATAAAAAGTAAATATATAAACACACAGAGGGATTAATAAATAACGGACCATCTATAATGTAGTTTGTTTCAAATGAAGCTGGGAGCCTCTGCAGTTGTGGTGAGTAAAAGCCCTGCCGCTATTTGTTAATGTTATTACTTTATGTCCGACCGTGAGGATGTACCATTGTTTGGTAGCTTGATGCTAATGACAGTAACGTTAACTCAGCGGGTTGACAAAGTGCCTCTGCTGTTTCACACCATCATTTCCCCCTTTTTACTTAATTAAATGCTCAAACAACAAAAGTTATGTTAAACTGACATAAAATTCCTGTCAGACAAGGGTCATGTGATACATGTATTTTGTGTCTGGTGAACTCAAAACTTTTATGTTACTGTAAATTAAGTTGATTGGTTTACAGTGTAGCTACCTCGTAATTATAAAATCACAAGGAAGTAAGAAAGCCAATTTGCTGAGCATCTGTTTAAACAACACTGATATTTGTGTCCCTTTATTGGTCATGAGCAGAGTTGGGTATAACACGTTTTAACACGTTTTACCAAAGTGACGTGTTAGAGTACTTTGATTACTTTTTGCAGTAATGAGTAACCTAACGTGTTAGTTTGCTGTTTGAGTAATCAAATACTTGAGTACATTTTCAAACAAGCCATCAATGATGGCTGTGTTTCTACTGGTCAAAGTGACAGCTGTGATGGGAGAATTGGATCTCAGTGAAGGGCAAGTGGTCCATAACTTTAATTTTGGAGACAAAAAAATGTAGGCTAAGTGCCCTGTGGTCCATTGCCCAATAGGAAATGTAGAATACTCAAAAGTACTTTAAAAGTACTTGAGTTACTTTTCTCAGGGAGTAATGTTGGAAGTAGGCTACTTTAAAAGTACTTACTTTTTAAAAAGTAACCTTTTTTAAAAAAATAAATAAATAAATAACGCAGTAAAGTACTTTTAAAGTAACCCTTACCCAACTCTGGTCATGAGCATGGCATGAGCAGCTATTGAGAAAGGAAAGTCATTCATTTTGAGATTGGAGCCAGCAACCTTCTCTTTACCAGTTCCATACTGCCACGCTTGACGGTTACATATTAATGAATGATGGGTGGAGGAGGAGATAATAGAGAGCCGCCTCATTATCACTCTCATGATGCTTCAGGGAGCGTTATGAAGTAGAGGGAGAAAAGCCGTGGTGTAGCCGGTGCCTAGTGAATTTTGCTGAAGGCTGCAGCAAAATATATCCCCCGCGCTGTTCCGGTCATGACAGCCAGGAAGAAACCGAGGAGTTGGAGTTTTGGGGAATACACTGATCCAGTCAGTCATGATCACAAGCAGGCCTACACATAGGCTCTCTCTGCCTGCTCGTGCTCTGGCAGAGAGACAGACAGAAGTTTCGCCAACAAGATTTTTTTGTTGTTGTCATATGCCCAGCTACAAAGTAAACAAGTAAATATGGCACAAACTGATACAGAACACGATTATTGTCGGGAAAAGTACCCCAGTCTTTGTGTGTTTAAAAGCGTATCATATTCAAATGCGTAATATGCACGGCACCTGTAGCATCACTATTCCCCTATTCCTCTTTGTGGACAGCTTGTGTGCCCTTTGGGTATCGGTTTCGTTGGCCCTTTGTCAACAACGTGTTAATTGCTCATTAGCCTTTTAGTAGTGCAGGGCTAGAGGCGGTCTCTCTCTCTTCCTCTCCCTCTCTCTCTCTCAGCCCTGCCAGTTGTTGGAGGGGCGTGTTCTCCCTTCCCTGAGAAGGTTAAGTAGCTGCCTGCAGCGGAGCAAAGAGAACATTCCGCACCAGTCCTCTGACGCTGTCACCGCCTCTCTGTCTCTGACAAGCAGGAAAAACTCGGACTTTTATACCGAGGCTAAATTTAGGGGGCTGGCCGGGGCGCAGCGTCCCCATCCTGGACGCGCTTCCTTCCCCCAGCGTCGCACTGGTCTGATTTGTGCTGCGAACAATACTTATAAGTAAAGCTTCTCCTTCAACGCGTACAGCTACACGAGTGAAGAGCAACAACTCACCGGACCACAGAAGAAGCAACGCGCTCCGTAGTTTTTTTTCTGGAGACTCGGTGTACTCCCTTTAAAACGGAGAACGTTTGTTTTCTTAATATTTAAGGAAGTTTTTCTGCTTTTTTAGAAATGGCCCTGAGTGGGACGATTTTACCATCAATCTCTACATTTGCCAACCAAAAGGAGAAATGTTGGGAAGATGTAAGTTGCGCTGTTTATTTACTTAGACTTGTTAAGAGAACAGACAGAGTGAGTGCGATGTTTTGACTTAACTTAATGCCCTTGTTTTGCTGGTGTTAGTTTGTTATATCACAACACATACACGCTGTTTGCTGGTCCTTGAAACATTTTTAAAACTTTGTAATTTTGCTAAGTCTAGGCAGTGCAAATAATGTTTTATACTATGTTTTGGTAGTCTCTCGTAGTGAGCTTTTTGAAGTTTTCGAGCTATTTTATCGAGCGGAATTGTTCCAATGACTTATCTGAAAGTGTTGTAGGGGGAAAATTGTTGTGAATTTTACTAATTCTGCTCTTTCATCCTCGCTCCAGAGGTGGAAGGGCGACATGACCGGCGTCGCGCTTAACATGAACAGCAGCTACCTCGGCAGAAAAGACGAAGAGGACCTCGATAAGTTCTTGGATCTTGAATTTATTCTCGCTAACACCACCGTGTCCGACAGTGTGCCAGCCGCTGGGACTGGCACAGAGTCCTATCGGCTCCAGGAGTCCGGGGTGTCCCTGTATCACCCGCAGCAGCAGCACCACACCGGGATGCCCCAGCAGCCGACCAATTACTCCTCTGTCCCGGACATGAACAGCCCTCCGCCGCCCTACAACAGTCTGATGGCGGAGCTCCTTCGCTCCGACGTGGATACCAGCTTCCTCCCCGGGAACAGCAGCATCCAGGGCAGATTCCTGATCAGCTCTGCGCCTTTCCAGACCACTCAGGATTTATTCCCCGAGCATCCGAACGTTAAAGTAGAGCCCACCTCCATGGACACGTACGGACCCGTCATGGGTCTGGTGCCTCAGAGCTGCGCCAAAGTCAAGCACGAGGGGAACGTCTCCTGCATGATGTCATACGAGCAGCAGCCGCGGCTGGCCAACTCCCCGCAGGCCGCAGTGGGCAGCATGACGCCGCCTCTCAGCCCGGACGACATGATGAGTTCCGAGTGCCACCAGCCCCAGATGTGTAATTCCACCTCTCTGACATTTCCGCAGCAGACCTTCCACCGCTGCGCGCCTGGGGGATTCCCTCACCCGCACACGGGGATGCAGCTCCCTTTCCCCGGGGCGCTCCATCACCAGTTCCCCGGTATGTTCGGGGAGGACGCAGCCATGGGCATGCAGCAGCCGGCGGCCGGTCAGCGGGTCCTGCTCACCCCGCCGTCCTCCCCGCTGGAAATGATGGACACCAAGCCAAAGAGGGGCCGCCGGTCCTGGCCGAGGAAACGGACTGCGACACACACGTGCACTTTCACTGGCTGCGCAAAGACCTATACCAAGAGCTCCCACCTGAAGGCTCATCTCAGGACACACACAGGTAAGAGCTGCATGTTGACTGTGTTGGACGCTTCATTAATCCACCCCGTCATTACCTGGCTTAAATGTCACGTCACTCACGGCTTTTTTTATGTTTACAGGAGAGAAACCATACCACTGCAGCTGGGAAGGCTGCGGCTGGAAGTTCGCTCGTTCGGATGAGCTCACACGTCACTTCCGGAAGCACACCGGACACCGGCCGTTCCAGTGTCACCTCTGTGAACGGGCCTTCTCCCGGTCAGATCATCTCGCCCTGCACATGAAAAGACACATGTGAGGAAAGACCAAATGTCGCAGACACGGACTTCCATGCACCACATCAAAAAACTATAGTAATCCTATGATCCGCTGTAGGATGCTGTGGAGATATATAGACTATCAACTATACGACAGCATAAACTGCCATACAGTATGACGAGGCCACTTTGACCACACTGTAATACCTATAGGCATATTATAGGATTATTACTGTGTTTTTTCCTGGGGGCAAGAGGAGCATCAAGATTAGATGCCCTCACATGATATTTTGTGAAAAGACTTATTTAAATGTTATTTTTGTGAGAAACAAATTACAGAACAAGGAGGACACACAGCCAGAAACAGATCAATTCTGTTCCGACCAAAACAATTTTTTACAAACTATGTAGCTGGTACTACTTTTTGTATGAAATGCCGTTAATATAGACAACAAATAAAAGAACATTCCACTCAACATGTCAGGCACATGCCACTAAAGCAACTGGAAGCAGACAATCCTTTGAAGATTATTTTGTATTTTCACCATTAGTGCCTTTTATAACACAATATTACACATCTTACAAGTGCCATATTCTCCACTGGCTAGAGGACAATCAAAGTTTTATTCTGTGGGTTATATTGTTATGGGAAATAAGCTTTAAAGACAATGTTTTGTTCTAAAACTGCCTTCCATTCTGTCCTCCCTCAAGGCTTGAATAGGATGTTGTGTCTGTGAGTCTGTCTGTTGTCTTGTAGCATTTGAAGTCCAGGTTTTTCAGTAGGAGGTCTCACAGAAGTGCATGCCATCTCAACCTGTCACCTGATTGACAAAGGGCTACACAGTCTTTAGCAAAAAGACTTTTCTGTTGGTGTCTTGAAGAAATGTACTACCTTGTAAATTGTTTTTTTTATATGATAATGTAAATAGTTTATTTTAATGTACATATTAAACTAAATGAACATGATTTGTGAGTCCTGAGTGTGATTGTAAAAGATTATATGAAACATGGTTTGGTGTGATGAATACACACAAGTTCATGCTTTAAAAGCACAGATCTGGCCTGTGACCCCCTGAAACACTGGTTCCCCACCTGGAGGTCTGGACCCCCCAAAACAAATCTGAGAAGAGAATTCACCATACAGTTCAAAAGAGGAGTCAAAATAATGTCTTTTTGTTTTTTGTCTCAAATCTCTAAATTTCCTTTCTTTTGAGAAAGAAAAACTGGATAAGCAGATTTCTCTCCAGGAAATGACTTTGGTAAAAATATAAGTCACCTATAAGAGTATTTCTTTAGTAAAAGTCTTAAAGTATATTTACTGTACTGAAGTATCAAAAGTGATTTCATGATATTAAATGTAAAAATATTAGTCTAACATATAAGTAAATGGTGTTAACAGTAATGTAATGTAACAAAGTAATAGTACTTTCTTACTCACTTTTCCTCAACTATACATTTCCTAAATTAAATGTATACCAATGATACCCAACTTGCGGCCCATGGGCCAAATCGGGCCTGTGATAGGGTGCTGGGTGGCCCGCTGACCATTTCCTAATTCACAATAAAATTAGATTAATATACACTGATTAATTCACACTGCTGGAGTGCATTTAAAGCATCTAAATAGAGCCTGTTTACCAAAAAAAGTGCTAGGGGAAGATCCCTCAGATTCCCAGACAGAGGTTCAGTCTGGCCCCCGGCCTCCTGGCATTTTGCACATGTGGCCCCTGGGCAAAGCAAATTAAGTATCCCTGATGTTTACTTTTACTCCAATACATTTCCCCTAAGCATCTTAATTAATTACTGCAAAATAGGGAAGGAAAAGAGGAAGGTATGGACAGATGAATGAAGGAAATTGACAGAAGTTGTGAAGAAGACCTCATTTTTCTTCACGTCAAAACGAAATTAACTTCATAATCCTCAGAATTTTGACTGCTTGCTTTTTTATTACCACCATTTAGTTGTAGTTTTACTTTCAATACTTTTACATTACTTTGATACCTAACTACAGTAAACATCAGATACTTTAAAGGGCAACTTTGGTATTTTTCAACTTGGACCCCATTTTCTCATGTTTTTGTGTCCAAGTGACTAATTGCAACAACAGTTTTTGAAACTGGTCCAGTACTGAATGAGACTGCTGCAGCTGGCAGTAGCGAAACAGGCTGCAATGTAACCACTTACGACCACAATTGAGCATCATCAATTTATGTCCACTAAATGTGTTTGTTTTTGCCACTGACAGGTTCGGTTCTATGTGTCTGACAACATAATGAAAAGAATCACGACAGAGATAGACATTTTTGTTTAAGAGTGAGGTTCTTTGTGTTTAACCAGAAACAGCATCAAAATCGCCATTGCCAAACCCACCTGACTCCATTGAAATAAACAATTTTATTATCCTAAGACACACTTCATTCAAAGTCTACAAAAACTCACCAACTCTGGTTTGGTTGAATTACATCCTTTGTTCATGTAGTTAGATGTGTGATCTGCTGGCTCTATACACGCTTTAATTACTGATTATCTAAATGGAGTCTGGTGGGTTTGGCGATAGCATTTTAGCTTTTCCGGTCAAACAAAAATGACCTTACTCTTCAACACAAAGGTCTGTCTCTGTAGTGATTCTTTTCATAATGTTGTTATACACTTACAATAATAATCTGAGCCTGTCCACTGCAAAAACAAGCACTTTTAGTGGACATACATTGAGGGTGCACAAAGTGATTACATTACCTTATATTACCAGTCTGTTTCACTGCTGCCAAGTGCTGCCCTCTCACTCAATACTTGACCAGTTTCACAAACTTTCTCCATACTATTCCCATTAGTCACTTAGACACAAACATCTGGGAAAACAGGGTCCAGGTTGAAAAACACATCTATTGCACATCTGTCCCTTCTAGATGAGGAATCCCTCCTCAGTTGCTCTTCCTGGGGATTCTACCATTTTTTTGTCTGTTACAGGGTTTTTTGGGGGGGACTTTGTCCTTATCCGCTGTTTGGCATGGTGGTTAGCATTGTCACCTCACAGCAAGAGGGTTCCAGTTTAAACCCAGAGTGGGGGAGCCCTTCTGCATGGAGTTTGCATGTTCTCCTCGTGTCAGCGTGAGTTTTCTGAGGGTACTCCAGCTTCTTCCCACAGTCCAAAGACATGCAGGTTAGGTTAATTGGTGACTATGGTTGAGCCCTGCGCAGAGTGTCCTGTCTGCAGCATCACATAGATGCTTCCCAGCTGGGACAGAGCGTCTGTCGGAGCGCTGTGGCAGCTGCCTATACATACAAACGTTACACTGACATAATTAGAGATGTTGGATATAGATGGAGGCTGCATCGGGGCATATGGTAGGCTATGGATCTTTTTTCCTATCTTTATTCAAGAGAGTGGTCTATCAGTTTGAGAGCATTATTTATTGATTTCACATCCAGGTTCTGTAATAATGTTCTTTCAAAACCCTGCCCTCGCACTCAAATAGCCTCTGCTTGCATTTAGATCTATTCTGTTTCTGCTCAAACTGTGTGCTCGCACTCAGATACAATGTTGTTTGCACAGATTTCCTGCTCCAGCTGCAGCTCTTCTCCTCGCGCTCAAACTGCTTCTGTGCGCTCCTGGCATTTCTGCTCTCAGATTTCTGCCCTGCACTCGGATTTTTTTGTGTAACAACCCTGTTAAAATCTCCCAGCTCCAGGTTTATTGTTGACCAATGAAATGATCCCTGCCTCCTTGCAGGCGCGCTCGCTTTAGGTTTAGAGCGTCCCGTCCGGGTAGGTACTCTTTAACCGGGTTCATCCACTGCCGCCCTCTAGGGCTTTATTAAGTGTTCTTCCCTTGCTTTCCTTACAACTTTTGGAATAGAGGGACTGTTAATTTACACACATGCGCCCGTATTTTTTACTATAATAGCCGCATAGTTTAGGCTATATGTATATATATATATATATATATATATATATATGAATGAATGTGTTTATTTCAGTACATTTCAGTAATCAATGTAACTGAAAGGGTGTAAGTAGAAGCTAAAGCTTATAAACACCTACCCCTATTACCTTACAAAATTATACTCGTCATAACAATACAAATACAAAGGAGCAATGTGCAAGAATTTGAAATTAATCATATCAATAAACTTAAATTTTCCATCACACAATAGAATGAATAGTGCACGGCGCACAAATTCAGAAATAGTACAGTCAGTAAACTTACTTTTCTTTACCATAGCAAGAAATAATGTAGTTTTTATAGTATTTTAAAGATGTGTAATGTACAACATGATTCAATACTTTTGGGAAAGTTGTTCCAGATCTTTACCCCTTTAACAGAAATACAGTTATTTTTAACATTAGTTCGGGTCTTTGGTTTATCAAATAATAATGTTCCCCTCAGATTATATCTGGTGTCTCACAGTTTTTGGAGAGGTGGAGGCAGAAGTTCATTTTTTACTTTGTACATGGTTTGTATTGTGATGTAATCAACTAAGTCCGTGAATTTCAAAATGTTTTTGCAAATAAATAGTGGGTTAGTTGGCTCGCGATAAGGTTTTTTTTTTTACAGATAATTCTTATAGCTTTCTTTTGCAATAAAAATATAGAATTAGTATTTGTTTTATATGCATTTCCCCAGACCTCAATACAATATGTCATATATGGAGCTATTATCGAGTAATATAATGTAATTAGTGAATTTTGAGAGAGGAAATCATGGGCTTTGTACAATATTGCAATGAATTTTGACATTTTTGATTTAACAGAATTTATGTGGGATTTCCAACTTAATTTATCATCAATTATAGCTCCAAGGAATTTTGTTTCAGATACAATTTCAATATCAACATCATTTATTGTTAAACTTCTGCTTGAGTTCATGGACTGATTTCCAAATAGCATGCACTTTGTTTTGCCAAAGTGAAGTGATAATTTGTTTAAATCAAACCATTGTTCGAATTTCTGCAGTTCCTTCTCCACCGTATCCAGAAGCTGTCCCGAATGATCTCCACTACAGAACACAGTCGTATCATCAGCAAATAAAATACAATTCAGTGACTTTGAAACCAAACTTATGTCATTAATATATAAAAGAAACAGCAATGGACCAATGACCGAACCCTGAGGCACACCACATGTAACCTTCAAGTACTCTGAGTTTGTCTTATTAATATGAACATATTGATACCTATTTTGTAAATAGCTGGTCAACCAGTCATGTGCCAATCCCCTGATGCCATATTTTTGTAATTTGGTTAACAATAAGGTGTGGTCAATTGTCTCAAATGCATTCTGTAAATCAAAAAATACCCCTGCTGTATATTGCTTTTTCTCAATGGCATTTGTAATTTGTTTAACAAAGTCCATTGGAGCAAGTGAGGTGGTCCGATTTTTCCGAAATCCATATTGTTGTTCACAGAGTATTTGGTGCTTTGATAAGAAATCATTTAGCCTCTCCACAAATACCTTTTCCAAAATTTTGGAGAGCTGTGGTAGCAGTGAGATTGGCCTATAATTTGAAAAGACATGTTTGTCACCAGATTTAAACAGCGGTATCACTTTAGCTATTTTCATTTTTGATGGAAATTTTACACTCATTAGAGACAGATTACAAATATAATTTAAGGGTTTAACAATACAATCAATAATTTTCTTTATCAAAAACATATCAAAATTATTACAATCTGTTAATTTTTTACCTTTTCATTTACGAACTATATCAATTATTTCTTTTTCAACAGTTTTTTTTAATAAACATTGAATCCGGAATTATGTTGATGGTATTGGTGTTTTCCCAGGAAATATTTTTAGGGGATACAATAGAGTTGGCTAGATTGTAACCCACATTAACAAAGTATTCATTGAATCGATCTGCTATAGGTTTATTTTCCTTAATGATTGCATCATTATTTGAGTAAAAGAAAGATGGGTAATCTTTAACGACTTTTTTCTTTTTGATCATTTCATTTAGAATCTTCCAA